GCGCCCCGCGTTTCCTTCCTTCCTCTCCTCCTCTCATCCTCCTCATCCCGCTCCTCCTCCCCCTCCTCCCATCCTCCCCCACTTCGGCAGACACCTTACACGCTTCGTGGCCCCATAGGGAGCTCCACCGAAGGCCCGAGTGGCTGCGTTTGCACGCGCCAACCGCACCCATGTTTGCCACACCCCTCACACGTGTCGTGGCCACATAGGCAGCTCAACCGAAGGCCCCAGTGGCTGCGTTCGCAAGCGCCGACCGCACCCATTTCGGCACACCCCTCACACGCTCTGTCGCCCCAGACGAAGCTCCACCGAAAGTTCCAGTGGCTGCGTTCGCATGCACCCACCGCACCAAGTTTGTCACACCCCTCACACGCCTCGTGGCCACAAAGGGAGATCCACCGAAGGCCCCAGCGGCTGCGTTCGCATGCGCCCACCGCACCAATTTCGGCGCACCACTCACACGTATCGTGGCTCCACAAGAAGCTCCACCGACGGCCCCAGTGGCTGCGCTCGCATACGCCCACCGCACCCACTTTGGTACACCCCTCACACGCACCGTGGCCCCATAGGGAGCTCCACCGACGGCCTCAGTGGCTGCGTTCGCGCGCGCCCACCGCACCCATGTTGGCACATACCTCACACGCTTCGTGGCCCCATAGGCGGCCCCACCGGCGGACCCTGGCGGCTGCGTTCGCATGCGCCCACCGCACCCATGTTTGGCACACCCCTCACACGCACCGTGGCCCCATAGGGAATTCCACCGACGGCAACAATGGCTGCGTTTGCATGCGCCCGCCGCACCCATTTTTGCATACCCCTCCCACGCTTCGCGGCCCCATAGGGAGCTCCACCGACAGCCCCAGTGGCTGCGTTCGCATGCGCCCACCGCACTCATTTCGGCACATCCCTCACACGGTTCGTGGCCCCGTAGGGAATTCCACCGACGGCCCCACTGTATGCGTTCGCATGCGTCCACCGCACCCATTTTGGCACACTCCTCACACGTTTCGTCGTAGCCCTATAGGGAGCTCCTCCGAATGCGGTGCATACAACGACGGTATTCACAACTGCATTTCGCCAAGCGAACTTGTTGTTTTACACGGTTTTCCGATGGCCGCCCAGGATTACCATCATGATCCGCGGGCCTCAGAAGGGAAGGCTCCCGCTCGAGATTTTCTCACTATTCACTCACAGGCGATGCTCCCGATCAAGACTTCCTCGGGATGCAGGCCCAGGTGTCACCAAACATGTGCTTTCGCACGGTTTTCCGACGACCACCTAGGATTATCAAAATGAACTGCGAGCCCCATACGGAGGGAGCTCCCGCTCGAGCATTCCTTACAATTCACTCACAGACGAAGCGCTCGTTCGAGACTCCCTCGGGATTCAGGTTCCCAAGTGTCACCCACCAAACCTATGCGCGCGTGTCTGTTTTGCCTACTTCCGATTTTCCTGTGGCCACCTCGGATTACCAACATGAGATGCGGGCCCCATCAGGAGGGGGGTCCCGCTCGAGACGTCCCTGCAATTCACTCACAGACGAGGCTTTCGTTCCAGACTTCTTCGGGGTTCGGGCCCCAGGTGTAACCAGACCTGTTTTTTTCCCCGGAGTACCAACATGATCTGCGGGTGCGGGCCCCGCAGGGAGGGGGATCCCGCTCGAGATGCCTTCGCCATTCACTCATGGACGAGACTCTCGCTCGAGACTCCGTCGGAATTCAGGCACCCATGTGTCACCAAATCTGTGTTGTTGTGCAAGGTTTCCCGATGGCCACCTCGGATTATCAGCACCATCTGCGGGCCCCAGATGGAGGGGGGCCCCACTCGAGATTTCTTCGCAGTGCACTCACAGATGAACTTCCCGTTCGAGACTTCCTCGGGTTTCAGGCTCCCAGCCATGTGTTGTGGTTTTGACCACCTCGGACTGCCAACATGGCTCGCGGGCCCAAGAGGACATGGGCTCCCGCTTGAGACCTTCTCGCAAGTCACTCACAAACGAGGCTCCCGCTCGAGAACTCCTCGCGATTCAGGCTCCCAGGTGTCGCCAAACATGTGTTTTGTATTGTATTCGGTGTTCGGATGGCCGCCTCGGATTACCAACATGTTCGACTGGCCTCACCAAGACGAGGTTCCCGTTCGAGAACTCCTCGCTACCTACTCACAAACGAGGCTCCCTTTCGAGATGTTCTCCATGTGAATGCATGAGTGTGTGAATGATTGAGCGGTTGGGTGTTATGCGTGCGACCATGATGATGATGATGATGATGATGATGATGATGATGATGATGATGATGATGATGATGATGATGATGATGATGATGAAAATACGGACGATGATGATCACAGTGGTGATGATGATACTGATGATGGTGATGATGATGCTGATGATGATGCAAATGATGATGCTGATGATGATGATGATGATGATGATGATGATGATGATGATGATGACGATGATGGTGATGGTGATGGTGATGATGATGATGATGATGATGATGATGGTGATGATGATGATGGTGATGGTGATGGTGATGGTGATGATGATGACGACTATGATGACGATGATGATGTGCCAGTATGAGTTACCGAATGAATGATTAGGATGGTGGAGGAAGGTGGTGATGGTGATGGCGACGGCGAATGTGAAAGGAGAATAGCAAGACAGAGGGTGGTGAGTGAGTGAATGAGTGAACGATGACGCGAATCCGTGTGGGAGCATTTGTTCCGGCGCGGGGTGCCCTAAGAAAACATGAACCCCACTTTGGACGTAGGGGGGGGACACCATACCTCTTACAACCTGTCAAAGGCCCGATGACACCCACGACGCACCAAGAGCCCCACGCATTACAGAACGAAGATTTGTTCACCACCGCTGTGCCCTGACGCGGGCGAGATTCGCCCAGCGCGCAGACAGGATGGCCAAAGGGCGACTCACCAGACAGCAACAGGACGACGAGGACCGAAGCTCCAGGTTCAAAGAGGGATCGGGGGTGGGCACGAGGGGCAAAAAAAAAAAACAAAAAAAAAAAAAAAAACAAAAAAAAAAAAAACGGAAAGAGAGGTTGAAACATCAGCGCGCAACAGAAACAGCGAGACGGTGGACGACGACGGAGGCAGAACGACAGAGGAGGGCGGCGACCACCCTCCAGCGGCACGTTGCAATCGCAGCGCGGCCCGCGCCATGTCGCTCGGGCGCTCCTCGGGAGCAGCCGGTGCAGGAAGAAGCAAGAGCGAGGCCGAGAACCCGCTCGCCGGGGGGGTCTCCGCCTTGCTTCCTGCGCCTTTTCTGCAGCGCGGAAGCTGAGAAAACGCCCGCGGGGGCGCGCGGCCAGGACTTCGGACGGCCCGCGGGAAAGGCAACCGAGGCTGCTCAGATCGGAAGCTGGGCGAGGGCTGGCAAATCCGTGGCTGCTAAAAAGGTCTTCCCGGAGGGAAAAAACGGATTCCCCGAATGAAGCTCGGCGAACTGAACAGGGAACGGGCTGCTTCCCGGAAGGAAAACAACAATTTCAAGGAGCCCCGCTTTAGCAGTCACGGGTTTGCCAGCCTTCGCCTGGCTTCTGATCAGTCCGCGTAAGGCGTCATCCCGCTGGACCCCTCAGCAGCCCTCGACAGTGACGATGGCTTCGCAGATCATAGCCCCCCCAGAGATGGCAAGGTCCGACCTGAGTCTGCGGTACGGCGTCCGTCCGCTGGATCCCCCAGCAGCCCTCGAAAGTGCAGACTGTTTCGCAGTTCACCCAGCTGCCCTCGAAAGTGGCGACCGTTTCGCACTCCGCAGCCCCCCAGGGATGGCGAGGTTCGATATGATAAGGCGTCACTCCGTTGGACCCCCCCGCGGCCCTCGAAAGTGGCGACGCTTTCGCTCATCGCCGCCCCAGGGCTGGCGAGGTCTAATCTGAGTCTGCGGCGGGGCGTCACTCCGCTAGAACCACCAGCAGCCCTCGAAAGCGGCAGCAGATTGGCAGATCGCAGCCCCCTGAGGATAGCGAGGTCTCGAAAGTGACGACACTTTCGCAGCTCGCAGCCCCCCAGGGACGGCGAGGTCTAATCAGAGTCTGTGGTAGGGCGTCACTCCGCTGCACCCACCAGCCGCCCTCAAAGTGGCGACCGCTTTCGCAGTTCGCAGCCCCCTCAGAGATGGCGAGGTATAATATGAGTCTGCGGTAAGGCGTCACTCCAGACCCCCCAGCAGCCCTCCAAAGTGGCGACGCTTTCGCTGATCGCAGCCCCCCTCCAGGAATGGCGAGGTCCAATCTGAGTCTGCGGTAATCGATCAGTCGTCAGTCCGCTGGACCCCCCAGCAGCCATCGAAGGTGGCGACAGTTTCGCAGTTCGCAGCCCCCTAAGGATAGCGAGGTCTCGGAAGTGACGACACTTTCGCAGCTCGCAGCCCCCAAGGGACGGCGAGGTCTAATCTTAGTCTGCGGCGGGGCGTCACTCCGCTGCACCCCAGCTATCCTCGAAAGTGGCGACAACTTCGCAGATCGCAGCCCCAGGGATGGCGAGGCCTGATATGAGTCTGCGGCTAGGCGTCACTCCGCTAGAACCACCAGCAGCCCTCGAAGTTGGCGGCAGTTTCGCTGCTCGCCGCCCACCAGGGACGGCTAAGTCTAATCTGACTCTGCGACGGGGAATCATCCCGCTGGACCCCCCAGCAGCCCTCAGAAGTGGCGGCAGCTTCGCAGATCGCAGCCCCCCAGGGACGACGAGGTCTAATCTGAGTCTGCGGCGGGGCGTCACTTCTCTGGACCCCCGGGCAGCCCTCGAAAGTGGAGACAGATTCGCAGATCGCAGCCTCCCACGGATGGCGAAGTAAGGGGCAGGCTGGCAGGCAGGTACGAGCCAGGTACGGGGCTGCCACGGGACGGCTACAGCGCACCGCCTCCTCGCCTCTCTCCTCGCCCCCTCCTCGCCCTTCTCGCCCTCCTCGGCCCTCTCCTCCTCGCCCTCCTCGCCCTCCTCGTGCGACCCTCTCCTCGCCCCTCCTCCTCGGCGGCCTCGGGCCAGCGCTCGATGGCCCCAGCGCAGCGCGAGAGGACGGTGAGCTGCACCACCGAGCGCGCTGGAAGCGGCTTGCCGTTGAGTGTCATGAGCGGGTCGACGACGATCCTCGCGGCCAGGGAGGACAATCATGCCTTCGCCTCCCCCCATCCCCCCCTCCTGCATCCACAACTCTTCCATCCGTGCTCCTTATTCAATAGGTATGTAAGTATATATATATATATATATGTATATGCACATAAACACGTACATGAAACTATAAAACCAATTATACATGAGTAAAAGAAAAACCTACATGTATATATCTACATATATAGGTATAAACATATATATACTAGATTCACCTGTATGGTATCCAATGTGGTCTCCCGCATGGTGTATGGTCTCCAGTGTGGTCTGTCGTGTGGACTCCCGCATGGTCTTCCGTATGGTCTCCCACATAGTATCCATGGTATCCCGTGGTCTCTGGTACGGTATCCAGCGTGGCCTCCCATGTGGTCGCCCGCATGGTGTATGATCTTCAGTATGGTCTCCCGTATGGACTCCTGTGTGGCCTCCCGTATAATCTCCCAAATGCTCTCCCGCATGATCTCCCGCAAATTCTCCCGTATGGCTTTCTGCACTGTTTTTCCAGTATGGTTTTCCGTATGGTCTCCCATACGGTCTCTCATGTAGTCTCTCGTGCGGTCTCCTGCATGGTTTTTCGTATGGTCTTCCGTATGGTGTTCCGTTTGGTCTCCCGTGGTGTCGCCGGCCGTATGGCATCACTACCACTACTACTCCTACCACTACCGCTGCAAGCCCATATACACACACACACACACACACACAGCACACACACACACACACACACATACATACACACAAACACACACACACACACACGCACGCACACACACACACACACACAAACACACACACACACACACACACACGCAGCACACACACACACACACAGCACACACACACACACACACACGCAGAATGGCACAGTACAGGATCATGGTGCGCTATAATACTATTTGCTGTGGTCGCTTCCGTGTGTGCCCTCCTCCCCGCCACGGTGTAGATCTGCGCGGGACGTGCTGCCGCAGAGGTGCCGCTCGGGCCCTCCCGCCCTGCCTGTAGAGACCAGCAGAGTCGGCGTGCTTGCTGTACAGTCGGGGCCTTGACCTAAGGAACCCTAAATAAGGAACGAGGCCCCTTTTTTCCATAAGTTAAACTTCGATTTCATATCGAAAACCTAAGGAAAACCCAAGACAAGCTGCGAAACACTTAAGGAACGCGGAGCCCCTCCCCAACGAAAAGGGTTCCTTCTTCAAGACCCCTACTGTAACTACGCAGGTCGTGTCGTCAACGTTGCACCATGCGCGGCAGCAGCAGGACGGGGCGCACCTCGCGCGCGAAAGGGGGCCAGATGCCGCTCTCGCCCCGGCGCCGCGCGTGATCTCTGCAGGGGCAGTGCCAGGTCGGCCCGTATCACAAAGGACGCGCGACAAGGATGCAAGGGCCTGGGACGCGAATTTCGAAGCTTTTTCGAGCGGGGCGCGGCCAACGAAAGTGGCGAAGGATGGACCGATGAGGCAAGGATGCAAGGGTACCATTGGGAAGGTTGCCCATCCTTCCCATGCGGGTGGACTGTAAGCTCCCGCCAGAGCGCGGAGCATATTGTTCGCACGTCAATTCGTCGACGCGCGAGCGACAAAAAAAGGTTGCTCTCGCCTCAGCACCGCGCAGAGTTCGCCCGAAAGTGGCGTTCGCTCCTCTGCGCGACACATCTGTTTCTTGGCGGCGCGCACAAGGGGGTGGAGGGAGGGGGGGGGGCTTCTTGGAAGGAGGCTGCTCCTTAGAAGGCGCCGGCCTGGCATCTATAGATAAGGCCCGCGCCTTCTAAGAAGCAGGGGTGCTTCTAAGAAGCCCTCCCCCCTCCCCCCACCCCCCTCTGCGCGCGGCTGAGTTTCACTCGCCAAGTGCTGAAACCCCGGGCGCGCGGGCGCCTTGTCGCCCTTGCCCAACCCCATGTGCACACTCCGCCTGGAAGTGGCGCACGCGCGCGGGCGCGGCGAATGCTTCGTCCACCGACTCGCACGGCGGCGGCGGGGCCGCGCGGGAGGACAGGCGAGGTGCCTCCCTTCGCCCCAGGAGCAGCTCGCTTTGCGCGCGGGAGCGGCAGCGGTGCCCCGGCGCGGCGCACGCCGCGTCTTCGCCCCACGCACGCGGAAGTGGTGCCGCTCCCGCTCCGGCGCGGCCCGCGTGGCGCTCTCTCTCCGCCGAGCCTGCCGAAGCGGGGCCTCGCGCGAGAGCGCTGTGCGTCCGCTGGGTGGGAACGCGCTCCAATCCCCATACGACGTTCGGGGTCTTACGTTTAAGCGGTTCGTCAACAGAGCAATCTGGTTTTGAAGGAACCCGTGGGCCAAGACGGCCCAACGGGGGCCTCAAGATGGTCCCAAGACGGCCCATGAGGCCGCCAAGAGGGCCCCTAACTGGCCCAAGAGG